TTGCTTAGCTCTGCTTGAGTGATCATAAAGTCAGACTAGATGAGTCTCCCACCTCCTCCTGTAGAGGGAACTTTTTTAGAGGCTTTTTTTAAACAGTTAAGCATTAAGCAGAGTCATCCACTGTGACTCTGGCAGCAACTAGCTCAGCCTTTTTCCTTTTACATTTTTTTTCTTTTCATGATGACAATGGTGAGGCTCTGCCTCCCCTGACTGCACGTCCCTGCTGACAATACAGAAAAGACTGCCAGTTAATTTAAAGTGGGAAAAATGTGTCTCTGGTACAGTCCCAAATGAGCACACTACAGATTTTCTGCTTCTTCTGCTAATACATTCATTTGGGATAAAACCAGAGTAATATTTATTTCCAAATTTAAATGAAATAGCAATTTTATCTACTCAAGTTCAATGTGGCATACAGATTCTCAACTTACAACCATTGTTTAATGATCATTCAAAGTTAGTGGTAGGCCATGTAAACTGATGGAGCGGGGAAATTGGCTTATGACCAATTTTGGCTTATGACATTTTCCACAGTCATGTAATCAAAATTCAGACTCTTGGCAATTGGCATATATTTATGACAGTTACAGCATCTCAGGGTTATGTGACACTTTTTGTGACCTTCCGACATGGGAGTAGGGAAAGCAGATTCATTTTACAACTGTGTTACTAACTTAATAATTGCAATGATCCACTTAACAACTGTGCCAGAAAGGTTGCAAATGGGACAAAACTCACTTGACAACCATCTCACGTAGCAACAGAACTTTTGGGCCCAATTGTGTTCATAAACTGAGGATTGATTACCTGTCGTCCAACAGAGGAGGTGTTGCCAACTATAATTATTTTCCAATTTGGGATATTTAAGAATTGGATGAATGAAAACTTGCACATTTGGCCAGATTCTAGGTGTTGAATTAGAACTGTCATGCAGTTTTCTTTGTTCAGTTTATTTCTAACATATTCCTGACTTGAACATTGATCATGTTTGAGGGATCAAGGTCTACAAAAGACTATCCAGTGTTGCTGAATGTCACTACAAAGAGTATAAACTGAGTATTTGGTCCATTTTTTTGCACTTTCAGGGACAGGTTTTGGGATGAGCATGGGAAATCCTTAAAAGACAAAACTTCAGGCCCAAAATATATGAATGGGATTTGGCCACTTTGCCATTGGATTTGGGCAATGTCGGAATTTCTGGGGGACAATATGAATAGTATAGATTGCCTCTACTTGCTTTAAAAACTAAACAGTGTATGATATGGTTCTCTCCAGATAGGAATAGGAATATACAATAGGAATATACAATAGGAATATGGTAGTATACTCCATATCCTGCATATGGATGGTAGAGATTAATGAGAGTTTACCTTAATTTATTTTGCTAAAAGATTTCCAAAATTCCATACATTTCTCTAAAACCAGGACAAGGAAGTGTGTTTTTTCTTTTAAACTTAGAATGTAAAAAAATAAAAATAATATTTAAGGGTGCATTAAGTTTTTGTATACATATGTTTTGAACTGGACACCATTATATCTAAATGTAGATGTCTACTCAAAACTTTTCAAATGTTATGCCTTCTCCTTAAATATGAATATAAAGGACCATTCAGGATGGTGATCAGTAATAGTTATCAACTATTTTAACATATTGTTTTTCTACTCTTTTTCCCACCCTAAGGACAAAGTGCTTCCCAGTATGGAGCAGTAAATTCTGGGAATTTGCTGCAATGCCATCCCTGTCAGGAAGGATGCACCCCCTGTATTGATGGCAAACCATGTCTGATCCAGGAAGACTGGTCTCTACGGGCTATTGTTCTTGCTTTCCAGGCCTTCTGTATGCTGACAGTTTTCTTCAACATGTTAATTTCTTACCATTATAGGAAGAGCAAGGTACGGGCCACGGTGAGCAGTAGAACACAAACTGGGTTTATAAAATGGTTGTCCTGCTCTCTTTCTTGCCATTACTTTTTGCAATAGTTGAAAATTTGCACTACTTTACAACCACCAACCTTGCTTTCAAAGCGCCATCGTTTCACATTCATTTCTCTTTTCCCAGAGGATTCGGGCCTCAGGGGTTATTCTTCTGGAGACAATACTCTTTGGCTCACTCCTGCTCTATTTTCCTGTGAGTATCTGAATTGGACCCAAAGGGGTTTAGTTATGAGGTACATGGATAGTAATGGGCCATCAAGAAAAAAGAATATGGCTTGGTTTACCATCTCAGTGTGGGTTACTCAGGGGTGGGCTTCAAAAATTTTAGCAAGGGGTTCTCTGCCCGGTTGCTGGGTGGATGTGGCCATGGTGGGTGTGTCCTAGTCGGTCTTCTGAACCATGGAGGGGGTTGCTCGGCCTAGGCTCCAGAGGCTTTCCTTGAGTCTCTGGGAGGGTGAAAATGGCCTCCCCAGGCTCCAAAGATCCTCTGGACACCAGAAACATTTCCGGCTTTCCCAAACTTCCGGTAGGCCCGTTTTTTGCCCTCCCCAAGCCTCTGCAGGTACCCTGCACCTACCTGCATCCAAAACAAGCTGCGTGGGGGCAGGGCAGCAGCCAGGATTTTGGGGTTCTCTGAACTGCACAGAATCTTAGTTAGAAGATTGCAAACCCCTAGCAGCCCACTCCTGGTTTACTATTGGGAAAGAAAACTAGTTTTCAGTGTCTTGGCTCACGGGAAGGAGAATGGAAAAGGTTGCACTGTCAACATACTGCTGTCCAAAGGAAGATATGAATTGTATGTTGGGCCAGCTGAGGCAAAAATGCGTGCTTGAAATGGCAGCCTCTGAGAGTAGAGCCTGATGAGAGGCAAAGGAAAGCCCCATAACATTAGGCTGCATTTTGGAGCACTCTGAAAAAAGTTTGGGGAAACTACTTCACTTCTCAAACTATCTTTTTAGCATAGAGATGCAGGGTTGAGTGCCAGTTGGGTGTAATTGCTAAGGCAGTGAACTTGAAATTGGGAGATCATGAGTTCTAGTTCTGCCTTAGACATAAAGCCTACTGAGTGAACTTGTACCAACAAACATTCTTAGCCCTAGGATGGAAGTAATGGCAACCCCTTCGAAAAAATCTTGCAAGGAAAAGTGAAGGGACTAGTCCAGGAGGCAACAATGACTTGAATCACACCCACCCACGCCCAAAAATGGTGTAGGACCATGAAATATGCAAATATAGGCTGATGACTATAAACTATTAAAAATACAAATATTAATGTTCATAAATGTTACATTTAGGGGGAGGGGAAAGAGGCTAATTAGAATAATCTGCTTTGTGTGATAACCCTGAGACATCTGATTAATCAACAGCTCAAGGACAGAAAGCTAATTTGTGAGGCTTGATTCATATTTTGCTTTAGTTTATAGTTCAGTGCAAACACACAGAACTGAATTTATTTAATCAATCATGGTCAATTAACCTAGCATATTGTAGCAAACCTAGCAGTTTGATTCAGACCCAAGACTACATTTAAGTTTTTCTTCCCTTTCTTTCCCCAATTCAACGCCCTTCTGAGAAAAGAAAGGTCCTACCCATCACTATGTTTGCCTTTCCTTCTCCTGCAGGTCTTTATCTTGTACTTCAAGCCAAGTATCTTCCGCTGCATTGTCCTGCGATGGGTGCGCATGCTGGGTTTTGCCATTGTTTATGGAACAATCACTCTTAAACTGTATAGGTGAGACTTTTGCATGAAGTTGGGTGAAATAAAGGGATTGAACCTTGGACTTATTTTCTTAAGTCTGTGATTGGAATGAATACTGGCAGCTGAATCCCTCTTTTGTTCAATCCCTCTAAATCCAGTGATCCATTTAATCCAGTACACTGGCTCCACATTGGTTAGAGAAGTGCCAGAAAAACTTCTCAGATAAATTATATTATGCGCTTACCCTGATTTGATACCATTTGACTCTTTTTTTAACCATCTTTTCCAGGGCCTCCTGGGAACTGTAATTTCCTCTGAAGAGGAAATGATTAATTTAACTACAAATGCATATAAATCCCAACCAGGATCCATTTTTTTCTTGCAAACCTTCTGAATGAAGTCCAACATGATTAAATGTTAGTTTAATACAGCCTTTAAGCTTTTAATGTCAATCTATTATTTATTGGTGAAACAAGGAAAATAAAAATACTTTATTAACTGCTAACAATTAAAGCAAGCTTTTAGTAACTAAACTAGCAACTAGTAGCAATTAATTGCAGAAACTATTTAGAGATGTTTAATTGCATGGGTCCCCCAATTCCTTCATGTACTTGAACACTATACATAATTCTCATTTTGCAAAGAAACAATGAGGATGGTTTTTCTTTAGATTGGGTCACTTTTATTTTTTTGTCCCATAGGGTATTAAAGATCTTTCTGTCTCACGCGGCTCAGCGTGTCCCTTATATGACCAGTGGGCGAGTGCTAAAGAAACTGGCATTGATTCTCCTGTTGGTCCTTTGGTTTTTGGCTGCATGGACAGTTGGGATGCTGGAGAATATTGAGAAAAATATACCACTGGTAGTCCGTTCACAGACTCCTAGGGGCCTCCAGTTTTACATCTGTGATCAAGATCGATGGGATTACATGATGGCTGTGGGTGAGGATCTCATACTTTGCCATGTGACAGGAAAGGAGAAAGATAAAGTTTTGATCACATGGTTGCAGCTGCCATCTGTTTATTCTATATAAATAATAATTAATCCTGGTTTTTGCTTTGTACAGCCTCTATTGCATATTTTTATTTTCTTCATGTTAGCCTTGGCCTTTTACTTTCCTAAAGTCATCACCCATTGATTCGGTATTTACTTCTGTTTCTCAGCATAAACACAGTGCCAAAAGTTATCATTAACATTGATGTCATTATTCTTTCCTAAATATCCTCTCAACCTTGAATAATTATTTTCTTCCATCTTTCCACATTTCTCCTATTTATTTATTTCCTCTCTTTTCCTTCCATCCTCCATAATGCCTGTTTTGTTTTCAATGTTTTGCTTCTATTATTTACTGCAGCAATAAATAGCAATATATATCTTCAGCTTTGAGTTGCCACTGAGATGATTATGAATAGTTATGCGACTGCAGGCACTAGCAGAAGAATAATTTGTTCATGCTTTAGTGACATAGCACTTCAATTCTAGTATATGAAATACCATATGATGAGTTAAATGGGAGTATTGTACCTCTGGATATGCAATCGAGTGTTCCTTCTTAGAATTTTGTCAACCTCCAACCATTTCAGGTCAGAAATGAGTCAATCAATGGAATGATGGGAAATGTTTTCCTACCAGATTTTGAATATGATCATCCATCCATCCATCCATCCATCCATCCATCTTCCTTTCTTCTTTCTTTCTCTCTTTCTTTATTCATCTATACATGCATCCATGCATCAATCCAGCCACCTAATACATCATCTAGAGGCATGGGATAAGAATACAGAAAACTATGGGAAGAATAATGCCACATCTCTGCTTATCTTTGTATCTCTTGCTGTCTAGCTGAAATGCTATTCTTGTTTTGGGGAAGTTTTCTCTGCTACACTTCTCGAACAATCCCTTCTGCTTTCCATGAACCTCGCTACATGTGCATTGCTGTTCACAATGAGCTGATAACTTCTACCGCTTTTCATGTTATGAGGTAAGAGAAAAAGAGCTTTTTCAAAGGCTTTTTCAAAGGACCGGCTTAAGGCAATATTTTGAGATGCTGGCATTACCTGACTCCCAGGAGCTGTAAGAGTAAACACTGCCCACAAAAGTCCTTGATAAGTTGTGTCTACCAAAGTATAAACAGATGTCTCTAGCCGAGAACTACTGCAAGCTCCATCAGTAAACAGAGTGATAAAAGTATCTGTTTACATTGTAAGGCGTTGCATTTTTTATTATTGCAAATGAAGGCACTCTAAAGGTATGTAAACAGCACGTTTAATAATATAATATGAGATAAACGTTAATACAAGTAGAAAGAAATATAGATAGCCCTTTGAAAAATATATTATAAACAAAGCAGAAGTTGCTGTGGAAAACCACATGAAAAACTTCTTTGATATCCAAAAAAAGTGACAATAACATCTGCTGTTGGATAAGAACATAGCATGTTTATCTGAGCACTTACCACAATAATTTACTGTTACAAAGCTCACATGGAAATGCATAAAGGAAAGAACAAAATGGAGCAATAAAATACAACCAAAAGGATGCTAGAAATATTTAAGATTAAACTACTGAATTATTAAACTAGATTTGCAAAGAGGTAAAAACTTAATTAAAAATGAGGTATAAAATAAAATGTGTATGCATAAGTAATACTTTATTTTATGTGTTTTACATCTTTGCAAAGTGAGTTAATAATTCAGTAGTTCTGCAGTATATACATACACACACACATTTCGTATACACATTTTGTTTTTTTCTAGTTATAGTGAAAATAATTATCTACTTTCATTATTGCTGCCCTAATGATACAAGGTCTGAAACAGAATTTGGTAGCATTAAAAGCAACTTGTTTTAATGCTTTGCAAGAAGAAATGAAAAGTAGAATTTGCCTTGAATGCCAGGATTCTTACTCAGAACTTTAGCTAAATATAGGTTACAAATATTGATTAGGGATGATTAGGAGATTGGAGACTAAAACATATGAAGCAGTGATGTATTTATAATTTTTTTCCTACCTGTTTGCGTGCGCACAACACTTCTGTGCATGCGCAGAAGCTTCTGCAAATGTGCAGAAGCGTCTGAGCAGTTGGATGGAGCCTCCCACTGCTGCTACTACCGGTTAGCCCGATCCAGGCCGAACTGGGAGCGACCCACCTCTGATATGAAGGAATTGGGTATTTCTCATTTAGTGAAAAGAAGGACTAGGTGAGACATGGTCACAGTATTGCATATCTAAGGGGCTGCCACAAAGAAGAGGGTGTCAGCCTATTTTCCAAAGCACCTGAAGGCAGAACAAGAAGGAATGAATGGAAACTAATCAAGGAGAGAGCCAACTATCAATCATAATAGTTAGAACAATTAATCACTGGGATGATTTGCCTCCAGAAGTTGTAGATGCTTCAACACTGGAGATTTTAAAGAAGAGATTGGACAACTCTCTAAAATGGTATAAAGGGTTTCCTGCCTGACCAGGGGTAGGGGTGGACTATAATATCTCCAAGGTCCTTTCCAACAATGTTATTCTGTTATTCTTTTTCTGTTATTGTCAATTATTCAAAAGCGGAGTAGCACATAGCCCACACTCACAAGAGCCACACAGGATGTCACCACCAAACATCCACAAAGAAAGCAGACAAAANTGGAAGGAAGAAAGGAAGGAAGGAAGGAAGGAAGGAAGGAAGGAAGGAAGGAAGGAAGGAAGGAAGGAAGGAAGGAAGGAAACATTTATCCCTAATCTCTCATGAAATCCAATCAAATTTTCCAGAAACCAAAGATTATGCAGAACACAGCTTCAAAAACTTCCCCTTATGATGCCAGAAATTTTTTTTTGGCAGGGGGAGGGATTCTGAGATTATAAATGAACAAGGAACAAGATTGGAAGAATATCAGCCAGGAGAACATAACCATTCAAACTATGAGCATTTTATAGAGCTTGTCTCTAATAAATTTACTTTCGGAGAGTCTAAAGGGGAGAAAGTGATTTTACAAGTGTGCATTTCTCTTTTCAGTGTATCCCACAGGAAAACCATGGATTTATCCTTGGAAAATATAGTTGTCTTTGCAAACCAGGTTACTATGGAGGACAGAGAACTGCCGCTTCCCATCTTTCTTCAATCAGTAAAGGCTGGACTGGTAAATAGAGACAAGTACAGCTTTTTGTAGTAATATAACAATTTGAGATACTGTTATAAGTTGTATAGGCCTAAATATATAGCATTTTGGAAAAATAAAATATTAATGTCTACCGAAGGTGACCACAATGTGAACCATTCTGTAGAAATGGCAGAATATAGAGAGGAAATGCAGTCCTAGTAAATAAAAATAAACATGTAGTTGTACCAATTACATATACTTAGGAATTTTCCTGGAAAAGATGAATTTGGAAAGAACTTTAAGGGGAAAGGGATTGGTTTATTGTTTATGGGAGATATTTTGGAAAATATTTGAGGTAAACAAAAATAATGAAAAAAACATATAGTAGTTTCCCAAATCCCAATTGTCATGAAAATGGGTATTTATTCTGAAATACCCGTTTGATTAGAACTTAAAAATACAAGTTAGCTGCTCCAAAATCACTATTGTCCTTAGCAGCTAAGCTAATGACTTTCTAATATCTCTAAATGTTGAGATTTTAATATATAGATTACTCTGAGATTATATACTTCATATTGTAATTAGCAATTCTATGGGCCTTTTTTCACTGTTTCTCAGTCAATTTCCTATAATTACCTTATTTTCAGAGGTGGGATTCACCTGGTTTACAGTAATTCAGAAGAACAAGGTGTTACCTTTTTGCGCAGTTCAATGAACTGGTTGATCCCACCACTGGATCGACCTACCCCACCCTTCCCTGCTCCTCTCAGGCGCTCCTTATCTCATCTCGCCCGTCTTGGCCAGTGCCTAGAGCCACGAGCACAGCATAGCTGCTGCTGCTCTCTGGCTCCCTTGCTCACTTGTTTGCCTCAACCACGAAGCCCTGCAGCCCACCCGCTTGCCTGCCATCGCTGTGGCCTACTATATAGAGCCCGCAGCCCAGCTCTCTGCTTTCTATTGCTCCTCCTCATTCGCCTAGACTATACTCGCCCAGCTGTCTTGGCCTGCTTCTTCCTGCTGTAGCAGCAGAAGCCTTGAGGCAGAGGTAAGTGTGGTGGGCGCCTCCTTGGGGAAGTGGGGCTGAGAACGGTGCTCGTTTCCAAAGCCTCCCATTTCTCTCGGCCTCCCACTCTACTGCTTCTATCGGCTTGCACCTCCTACTGCTTCTCTTAGCTTCCATTTCCTACCTCTGCCTCCTATTGCCTTTGTTGGTGCCTTGGTCACTCAGGGAGACACTGGCCTGCCATGACTGCTGCTGCCACAGCTACCGCTCCTATGGCTGTTGCCTCATGACCTGCCTTCTGACCCAACCTGGCATCTCCCCAAGCAACTGAGGTGCACGCAGCACCAACAAGGGCCAGAAGAAGTACCTGCAAGACCCAGCAAGGGATGAGGCGCCATAGTGCTTCCAAGATGTGTGACCTGCTCTTCGGGCTCAGAGCTGTAAGCCATTTCTCTCTGCCGCAGTGCCTCCTGAATGTAGCTTACAGCTCCAAGTCCTAAGAGCAGGTTATACATCTCCCTGAGCGAGGCACCAACTAAGGATGGAAGTAGCTGTCCGCTATTTCTTGCTGCAGTCTGTCTGGCAGCAAGAGACCCCGCAAGAGATGAGGCAGCCCAGAATTAAATTGAAACTCTTACAGGATTGCAATGAAAGAGGAGGATTCAGACTGCCCAACTGGGAAAGATACTATCAAGTGGCAGCACTAACATGAGTAAAAAATTGGACAGGACTTAAAAATAGAAGCGTTGGAAGGACATGGTATGCAAATGGGGTGACATGCTTTCCTATGGGATGAAAAACATAAAGCTCACCAGTACTTCCAGAGGCCCCATATAAGATGAGCTCTACTTGATGTGTGGTTAAGGCTTAAACAACAAAACTACATGAAAACCCCAAACTGGTTATCGACGTTGAAGATGTTCATGCATCCGAATTTTATTAATTTAGGGAAAGTAATGACTTATAAGGCGATACTAAACAAAAAAGGTGAACTAAAATCTAGAAGAGAATTATATGAGGAAGGAATAGAATTGGAATGGTGGGCTTACTTACAAGTCCAATCTCGATAAGTAAAAGACAAAAAAGAATGGGGTATTAAGAAAGAACCCACAGAATTAGACAAAATTTTACCAGGTGAAGAGGATATCTATCAATATCTATTGGATTATACAATGGTAGAAGAGCAGGTAAAGGACACCATGTTAGCATGGAATAGGAACTTTGGTTACAGCATAGATTTGGACAATTGGCAAGACTTATGGAAAAGAAACAGAAAGTTAACTTTAGCCACCTCATATAAGGAAAACTTATACAAGATGTTCTATAGGTAGCACATCCCACCCACAAGATTAGCTAAAATTAACAAAAACCTATCGCCATGATGTTGGAAATGTAATGCCGCACTAGGGACCTTCTACCATATATGGTGGGAGTGCATGAAAGCCAGGGCTTTTTGGCACCAGATAAAAAAGTATTTGGAAGAGATGCTAAATCAAAGGATGGAATTGAGGCCAAAATTATTTCTACTAGGAACCACAAAAGAAAAATATGGCAAAGGTGGACTATATTTAATGCTGCATATTTTAATGGTGGCAAGACTGCTTTTTGCACAAAAATGGAAAAATAAAGAGAGTCTCTCTGAACAAGAAATAATAAATAAGATACTGACATGCACAGAAATGGACAGACTGACTCTAGAGAGCAAAGACAAAGGTGAGACAGAAGATCACGAAATCTGGGACAAATGGTACTGATGGTTAGAAATGAGGGGAAAAGGCCAGGGCAGAAAAACACAGACAAGTTAAGAATTGGAAAATATGGTATAAAGAATGTGTGATAGGTAGGAATTGGATATATATTTGTATGATTAATAATTATATAAAAGAAAGGATCAACAGACAGGTAATCTGACTGACTGCATGCATAATAGATATAAAATGAAATTGTTGTAAGATCTAATCACTATATGGAAACGTTTATGCCAGAAATGCCACACTATGTCAGGGGGGCAAGGGGAGGGGCCAGTCAGCGCTTCACTTGCCCACTAAGGCTCCAGCGACTGTCGCTTTGTCCACCTGTACTGCCCCAACTTGCCATGAGTGATGTCAAGTTGGCTACACCCACTCAGTCACATGACACTCCCACCCAGCTACACCTACCCAACTGAAGAACCAGTTGTTAAATTACTTGAATCCCACCATTGCTTAATTTCCTATTCTATCTTCAATGGTCATTGGAAGATACACTATATTGCCAAAAGTATTCGCTCACCCATCCAAATAATCAGAATCAGGTGTTCCAATCACTTCCATGGCCACAGGTGTATAAAATCAAGTACCTAGGCATGCAGACTGTTTTGACAAACATTTGTGAAAGAATGGGTCGCTCTCAGGAGCTCAGTGAATTCCAGCGTGGAACTGTGATAGGATGCCACCTGTGCAACAAATCCAGTCATGAAATTTCCTCGCTCCTAAATATTTGACAGTCAACTATCAGCTGTATTAAAAGAATGTGGAAGTGTTTGGGAACGACAGCAACTTAGCCACGAAGTGGTAGGCCATGTAAACTGATGGAGCGGGGTCAGCGGATGCTGAGACGCATAGTGTGAAAAGGCCGCCAACCTTCTGCAGAGTCAATCGCTACAGACCTCTAAACTTCATGTGGCCTTCAGATTAACTCAAGAACAGTGCGCGGAGAACTTCATGGAATGGGTTTCCATGGCCGAGCAATTGCATCCAAGCCATACATCACCAAGTGCAATGCAAAGCGTCGGATACAGTGGTGTAAAGCACGCTGCCACTGGACTCTAGAGCAGTGGAGACACGTTCTCTGGAGTGATGAATTGCGCTTCTCCAGCTGGCAATCCGATGGACGGGTCTGAGTTTGGCAGTTGCCAGGAGAACGGTACTTGTCTGATTGCATTGTGCCAAGTGTAAAGTTTGGTGGAGGGGGGATTAGNAAGCTGAGCAAACAAGCCTGAAGATGACGAATGAGACTTTGTCGAAACATCGCCAAGACACTTCCAATTTTACGCGGGAGAAAACCCGAATAACCAAAGACCTACATACATATATGCCTCATCATCAGTGTGGGGTTTTGTCTGCTTTCTTCGTGGATGTTTGGTGGTGACATCCTGTGTGGCTCTTGTGAGTGTGGGTCTGGTGTCAGTCCTCATGTTAGGGATTCGTTTGTCAATAAGGGCGGGCTGATGAGGCACAACCAAGAACTAGAAGCCAGACCGCAACTGCAACATTAGCCACTTTAAACCCCTCCTATCCTTACATAAAACACAAACCCCCAACCAATCAGAAATGTCACCAAGACACTTCCAATTTTACGCGGGAGAAAACCCGAATAACCAAAGACCTGCGTATGTATGTATGTATGTATGTATGTATGTATATATGTATGTATGTATGTATAAATTTTTAGAAGCTCTTCTGTAGGTGTGGCCTGCAGAGTGGTTTGTTGGCCGTGTGACTGGGTGGGCATGGCCAACTTGTAAAATGTGGTGAAACTCACTTAACAACGCTCTTGCTTAGCAATCAAAAGGTTGGCTTAGAAACTCTGGCATTTGAAGCCCGCAAGTCTTAAAGCTGTTAAGTTACAAGACTCTTGCATCCCTAACCTTTAAAAAAAAACCCAGGGGTATTCAAACTTGACAGCTTTAAGACTTATGGACTTCAACTCCAGAATTCGTCCTCTCGCTCTTCATCTTGATGTGTGGACGGGCGGGGGGAGGGAGCTGGAACCGGTTCTAAACAGCACTGTAGATTTGTGGAACCTCTTCAATAAAAGAGGTTAGAACTGGCAGGAACCCACCCCTAATAGATAGATAGATAGATAGATAGATAGATAGATAGATAGATAGATAGATAGATAGATAGATAGATAGATAGATAGATAGATAGATAGATAGATAGATAGATAGATAGATAGATAGATAGATAGATAGATAGATAGATATAAATAAGAGAGGGGGGGAGAGGGAGAGAGAATATCAATTATTTGGAAAATAACAGGTCAGAGACATTTCCCAGTTTCCTAATTTATAACATGACCATTTATTCAGAATGTTTTCTATAAAACTTTCTTTTCAGTAGGTACACTATTAACCTCTTACCCTCCCCCAACTTTTTCCAGTTCCTTCAGTTTTTAATTTGGCCAAGCTGATTTTGAAAAAGGACAAAAAATAGAGAAACCTTTTTTTAAAATGCCGGTTGCCAAATTGGGTAAGCTTTTAGCGCATCTACCAAGGGAGGGGGAGGCATTGTAAAGATTGCAACAATCCTGCATGTGAAGCGCTTATCTAATGTGGTACAATTAAAACTTGAAAGAAAGGAGGCCCCAGTGGAAATCGAGAGATATGCCAGTCTGGACTTTATAGGTGGGAGGAAGCCTATGAAGTCAAACACTTAGGTCTATATCAGTTTCCCAGGGGAAAGCAGGCAAAATTTGGCTAGATTCCTATATTCAGTGGAGGAACATAAAGGAACATCTTGACCTAAGTCCCAGAGCTGCTTTTTGTTGTTCGTGCCTTACCTCTGAAGACTAAACATTAAATTGTTTCAAAACAAGCCCAAGAATTAAGCCTGATTTTACTTTTTTCCTAATTCTTCTAACCATTTTCTATCTCCAATGCATTTTACCATGCCATCTTCTTTATTTCTCTCTTCAGATTTTTAATGGTTCCTTCCCTGCATCCTGACTGGACGCTACTACTGTTTTTCATCCATACTCATGTCACTACCACAATGACACTTGCACTTATTTTCATCCCAAAGGTAGGGTGAATCTTTACAAAAAGTAAGCAAAGAGGTTCTATTCTTTCTTCCCCAAAAATTGAATCAGAAATCATGTTTAAGATGTCATAACACTGTTCTGTTCATTTTCTGTTTTCTATTTCTCCTTGTATTAGAGAATGTAGTTTTCAGGAACAAAAATCTAAAAATTTTAAAAATGTATGGTATATTTGCTGCCCAAAGTTTTACATGTATGTGACAGGAGAATGGGCATTATTATTTATTTAGAAGATTTCTTTGACCTCCCAATCTAGTGTGAACTAATCTCCCTCCAATAATATCAACAAAAACAGAGCAAAATTCAACATACCTATAGCATACAATCAAGGGATCACTGATGCATGCTCTATCTCTTTAAGATGAGCTCAAATAATATTTATGGAATTGATCTTGGGAAAATGGGGCAAAACTCACTTAACAATGTCTTGCTTAACAACAGAAATATTGAGCTCAAATGTGGTCTTAAGTCAAGAATTACCTGTATTTTAGACTTTCAAAATTCTAATACTATAACTTTACAATAAAAGCAGTGTTAAGCCGTGTAAGCTTGCAGAGTGTTAGTCTGCAAGGTCAATGCTTCTTGTCTGAATTACTTCCGAGAACTGTCATCTCATCTATCATCCTGGCAATTCTGGGAGAAAGCCAAGGTTTTAAAGACACTCTACAGACCAATAAGATTGGGACTAATTGGATTTCTGGGGGAAATCATTCCCAAGTACAGAGATTCGGACAGGCTTGGACTCTGACTGGGTAGATTCGGGTGAGTCGACAGGGATGAATCTTGTGGAGACTATCTGGGATGAGTTTGACCCTGTGACCCCGGAGGGCATGGACAGGATTATAGGGAGACTCAGTGCTGCCACTTGTGTGCTGGACCCATGTCCCTCTTGGTTAGTTCCAGGCGATTATCAATGCTTCATTGAGAGAGGGGTTCTTTGAAGGAGGCGGTGGTGAGGCCCCTCCTTAAGAAGCCTTCCCTGGACCTAGCCAACTATTGTCCAGTCTCCAACCTTCGCTTTGTAGCGAAGGTTGTCAAGAGTGTAATAGTACGTCAACTTCCCCAGTACCTGGATGAAGCTGCCTACCTGGATACGTTTCAGTCGGGTTTCAGGCCTGGGTACAGCACAGAGATGGCATTGGTCGCATTGGTTGATGATCTCTGGCGGGCCCGGGACAGGGGCTGCTCCTCTGTCCTGGTCCTATTAGACCTCTCGGCGGCTTTCGATACCATCGACCATGGTATTCTACTGCGACGCCTCAGGGGGTTGGGAGTGGGGGGCACCGTTTTACGGTGGTTCTCCTCCTACCTGTCGGATCGGTCACAGTTTGTGTTGACTGGAGGACAGGGATCAACCCCAAGGTGCGTCACTTGTGGGGTGGCCCAGGGGTCGGTTCTCTCACCCCTCCTGTTCAACATATATATG